GGCCCTTATCTCTAGTTGTTCCTGGCTATTATATAACAAAATTTCTGAGAACCAAACATTTAATCCGCACCCCCTCTCCTGGGAACAGCATTTCTGTGAGTGGTGGCAGGGACCACAGAGCAGCTGAAAGCAGGGTTCAGGTGGTTTGCATGGGTTTGGAGTATGTTGTTTAACAAGAGACACAACTATATGCTGGGTGGGATGTTTTATGGAGCATGAGCTGTTGGGGCCAAGGGTCACTGCAACTTCTCTAGTGCAATAATTTTTAACTGGGAGTAAGGGACATCAAAATCACTTGGGGGACATTTGCAAACTACACAAGTTTCCCTCTATATACCTTTCCTCACCTGTTGAGAATCAGAACTCTGATTCTTCAAGGACTAAAGTGGAACTCTGATAACCTAGTTTCTGGTCTGCTTTTCTCCTATTCCATTCCCTCTTTTTCTTTGTCTCAACAGCATCTCCATTGCCTGGACCAGATATGACCATGAAACCGGGCACTGCCCTATCTTCTTTCACTCCACTTCCCATTCCCCCATCTGCTCCTGGCCCACCAGACCAACCACTCTGGGAGCTGCCTCCACAGCCCCCCATGCCTTCAGCTTTCTCTCCAGGCAACCCTCTGATGCTCTCTGCTTTCCCCAATCCATTGTTGGTGACAGGGGATGGGGGCCCCGGCCACAGTGGGAATGAAGCTGGCAAGGTCATTGTCAAAGTCAAGACAGAAGGGGGGGCAGCTGAGCCCTCTCAAACTCAGAACTTTATCCTCACTCAGACTGCCCACAATTGGATTGCCTCAGGTGCTCCCTGTGGGGGTCCCGAAGTCCCTCCCCCTCAATTTGTGATAGCCTCTAACATGAAGACCCTTCTGCCCACTGAGACAGTTGGGGTGAGCCAGGAGGGCCTCCCAGGCCTTCCTGCCCAGGTTCCAGCACCAGCTGCCCAACTGGCCCCCATTGTGCCCCCAGAAAAGGCTTGGCCAGGGCCACATGGGGCGACTGGAGAAGGAGTTCTGGCAGTGGCCCAATCCAAGCCATCACTGGGTGACCTCTCCTATACCTCCAAGGGTGTTTATGAGAACTTCCGACGCTGGCAGCGCTACAAAGCCTTGGCCCGGAAGCACTTATCCCAAAGTCCTGATGCAGAAGCTCTTTCTTGCTTTCTTATGTAAGTGGGGAGACCAGGGATTAATTACCCTAGGGCTTTTAACTAAGGAGGGCTTTGGGATGGACAAAATAGGTTAGGCTACGTAGGAATACTTGAGGCAAGTCATGAGGGTGGTGGAGATGCTATGAGTACAAAAAGCATGGTGGTTGTGATAATAATAATATAACAAGCCTTCAGGTGTCTTCTCTCAGGCGATGCTCACAACTCTGAGTTCAGGCAAGCATTTTTTATGGTAATCCTCATTTATAGATGAGGAGACTGAAGCTCAGAGAGGTTTCTTGTCATAACATGTGGAGGTGATTGTACCATAGGTCTCTGAAACCAAGTGCTAGGGTCCTCTGGTTCTATTTTAATACTTTTGGACATTGAGTTGAGCTGTCCAAACCTACCAGGATGAGGAGTGATGGGCCCTGACCCATTCCTGTGGGAGGGAAGGACAGTGTGGGGCCAGGCAAAGGAACTTCTGAGTATCCCCCTCCACCACCCCTATTTTATTCAGGGGAATTCAAGTTGAAATGGGGTGGTGGTAGAGTTTGCTTAGTAGTTGAGGGCCTAGGCCTAGACTCCACCACTCCCTAGATTTGTGATCCTGGGCTTGACACTTCATATCTTTGCCCTAATTTTTCTCATTTAGAAAGGGGATAATTATACTTACTACCTCAGAGGGTTGCTGAGATGAAATGAGTTAATATATGTGACGTGCTTAGCAGAGCACCTGGCACAGAGAATGCTTCATTAAATGGTAGCTGCTGCTGCTGTTATTATAAAAAGGCAATCTAGAAGAGAAAAAGAACTCACAAAAGGCCAGAGTCTTTTGCTTAAGAGTATGAGTGGATTCTTAGCCAAGGAGCCCAGGATCATGGGCTCTCTCTTGGGTTTATAAAACAACATCATGGCCATCTGAGCGATTTTCCTTTTCCTACCCAGACTTGCTGCCTCTCTCCACTGCACTGTACCCTCAACATTTTGTGTAAGCCACTATGTAACACATACTCCGTTTTACTGGATTTAAAAAACCTACATGTTATTCCTTCAGTGGCCAACTCTTAAAGGAATCTCCCTTTCCACTCTGACTCTGGAGTGACTAAACCAAGAGGCTCTCCCAAATAATTAAGTGTAGGTCATCTTATCTACTCCCTGCTTTCTTCACACAGTTCTGAGTCTCTCTTGGAGCCTGGCAGGCTGAATTTCTGACTCTTGAGTGAGCACTGCTTTTGGTCCTGGCCTAATGCTGCTGTCCACACTCAGGGCCTCTAGGCAGGGTCTCCCCCAAAGTGCAGCCCAGACCCTCTGTACTGGTCACCTGGGAAGCTGGTAAAATACTCTCAGTTCTGGACTCCTGGAATCCATATTTATAACAAGCTTCACCAGGTAATCTTAGGCACAATAATGTCCAAGGACTCGTTTCAGGGAGGCAAAAATGAATCACAAACAGCTAAAAGAGTATTGATATGTGACTGTCTGTCTATGAGGGGTATCCTGGAGGCAAAACAACAACACTTAAAAACCAACAAATAAAAATACCACATCACTTTCAATGAGAGATTCATTTGGCTTAGTGAGTGCCTTTTTTAAAATGCAGGAGCCTTTTGGGTAGGGCTAAGCCTGATTTACAATGAAACCCATTAATTTAACAACATGAGGGCTTTCTTCTGAATGTTTAGTTAAGGAAAGCACTGGGAGAATTAAGGGTGGTTGACTTCAAAAGATGGGGAGAAGAATCATGTTTGATTCTGTGAGAGATTTTTAAATTTCAGTGGGAAGAAAAGCCAGGATGGCCAATGAATGGATGGAGGGGGAAGGGGTTCAGGAAGCCCAATCAAGTGGGACATGTTGGGGAGTGAGGGGCACATTAGCGTTGACGAAAGGCTGGGTGTATGTATTAGGACAGTGTCAGGACAGGTGGGTGGGGGACACACTTGTAAACTGTGACTGACCCAATGGGGGTTTTAGCCCAGTGCTTCGCTCCCTGGCCCGGCTGAAGCCTACTATGACCCTGGAAGAGGGACTGCCACGGGCTGTGCAGGAGTGGGATCACACCAGCAACTTTGACCGGATGATCTTTTATGAGATGGCAGAAAAGTGAGTCTGAGGAACCCTCATTCTCCTGATGGGGGGCTGTGAGGCTGGGAGGGTAGGGGGAAGGTAAGGAAGACTCGAGTCTGGATGTGTGGGTGATTTTTAAAAAGGATCCTAGAAGGAAGGGTGTGGACTAGGATAGGGTCTCCTGGATCCTCGTTGCTTCTTCCACCACCTTGACTCTTGAGGTTTTTCTGTCCTATCTCCTTTTGGAAGCTCTCCCTTTTCCAGATCTTGAATTATATAAGGGCCTTGATTTTGAAGCTCTTAGGAGGGGATTGGAGCTCAATTGGTGTAAAAATTCCATGCTGAAGGGATCTAGCAGTGAGCAGGTAAGCCCTACTAGACAGATTCTTTACTATTCTTTACCTACTGGCCAGGTAGCAAAGTGTTTATTGATGCAGAACTTGGGACCACCTCTCCTCTGGAAATAGTGGCACAGAAATCAGTTACCCCTGTCATCCCAGGGAGGAGCTGGTTCTTGAAGAGGTTGGGCAGGGGAAGCCAGGGTCCTGGATGCCCAGAGTGGTCTCCTGCCTTATACCCTCCATTTTCCCACAATAATCTCCTTGGTTAAAAAAATAACTGAGGAAAATGAACCGTTTCCTCCATGCTTAGTTTCCACTTTCTCCCCCAAATCTTCTGGACCCATACCTCCTATATTCACCCTTCCAGGGCCTAGTCCCAGGACTCCTGGATCTCAGCACTGTCTCCTGGTGGGAACTGCCTTGAATGGCAACTCCAGACCCTGCAGGATTTCAGCCTTTTTTTATGGTTGTAGGCAGGGACAGATGAGGCCTCGAGGAAGGGCCTGCTGGTGGGGTCCTACCAGGCTGTGGCATAGGCCTGATTGAATTCAACAAGTCTGTATTCATTGCTGCTCTATACCCTTGGTGATGCTGTTAGACTGGGCATGAAAAAGAAGTGAAAGCCATGGCTCTGTCCTAGAGAAGCTTACAAGCTCTATGTTGTTTATTTTCTTAACAAGCTTCCTATATGATGACTGCAGGTGAAGGGACTATGTGGTGACCTTGTGAGGTTTCCTCAGAACTGTTATTTGGTTATCTGTGAGCAGCACCCTCCTGGTGTTCGGGTTCCCGATGGGTCTGGCCTCAGCACTGCCTGGGCCTTCTTGTCCTTTGCAGGTTCATGGAGTTTGAGGCTGAGGAGGAGATGCAGAATCAGAACACTCAGCTGACGAGTGGGTCCCAGGGTCTGCCTCCTGCAGCCCCTCTGAAACTTGATTCTCAGGGTCCCCGGGCCCCTGGGGTTTGCCAGCAGCCAGGTAAGGTTACCCAGTTCTAACAGAAGCCGTACACCAAAGGCTCAAAGGGAGGCATACCGAAAGCAGTCATGGGTTGGGGAAGGCTTTGACCTTGCATCTGCCACTTTCCCTCCAGGGAGTGGCATTTGATGTTCCAAACAGGGCAAATATAGGAGTCTGGGTTCTCAGGTTCCCTTGGTCCCAAACCAGGTATTGATCTTGGCCAAGTAAACCAACTATTCTCTCACCAAGGCTGTAAGCGGAGCCCATAATACCTCATCTGACTAAGAAATGGGGGCTGGATCAGGGGACTTCCCGAAATTTCAGGGTTTCCAAGGTTCTTCATATGGTGATTTTCTCAGACCTTCCAACTCCTCAATCTTTGCCCATGGCTGGTACTTTTCAGGGTGGCCTGATCCAGCCTGGAGACATTTGTGTTCTCGGGTGGGGTTGGGAAGCAGAAACTGTAGTCTGTGTGCCACTTTCCATTTCTCCTTTTCATCTCTTCCCTTAGCGTACATTCCCAAGAAGGCGGCCTCCAAGGCACGGACCCCACGCCGGCGGCAGCGCAAAACCCAGAGGCCTCCAGTTCCTGAGGCACCCAAGGAAATCCCACCAGAAGCTGTGAAAGAGTATAATGACATCATGGAAGGGCTGGTGGGGAGTCACTTGGTCATTGGGGAGTCAGACGGAAGACAGGAAGGGGAAGAGCAGCAGCAGGAGGAGGAAGGGATGTATCCAGATCCAGATCTCCTGAGCTACATCGATGAGCTGTGTTCTCAGGAGGTCTTTGTCTCCAAGGTGGGCTGGGCCTGGATGTCTGGTTTCTAGGAGATCCTGGGGTGGGAACTTCAGGGGACCAAAGATCTAGGGTTCTGCCCTAGGCTCTATTCTGTACTGAGCAATGTGTGTGCATGTATGTACACGTGTGAATGTGTGTAGCTGCTGGTGGTCATGGTTTATAACAACCCTGGGGGGGAGGGGGCTTATGGCTTCTCTAGAGCCTCCGGGCTCACAAGTTACCTCCTGTCAGCCTCATAACACGTTTACTTCCGCTGCCCAGGTGGAGGCCGTCATTCACCCTCAATTTCTGGCAGACCTACTGTCCCCAGAACAACAGAGGGACCCCTTGGCCTTAATGGAGGAGCTGGAGCAAGAAGAAGGACTCAGCCTTGCCCAGGTATACCTGAGGGGTAGGGAATATCAGAACCAGGAGCTCGCATGATTGTAGCTAACCCTACGCTGTCTTGGGTGGCATGACATCTGGAGATGAACAACTTCAGGAGCGGGCTTCGGGTACTGAACAGTAGGTAAGGGACTGTGGACGTGCAGGAAAAGGGAAGTGTAAGGGCTCAAAGTGTGGCATAAGGCCCAAGAAGGCAGAAAAGAACTATGGTATCTGCCTTTAATACTGTCGCTTAAGCCACCTGCTTGCATTCTCTGCCCTGCCCACCACTCAGCCAGCCGTCCCCACCTCGTGTGGCATGCTATTTGTCTATTCTCTTTCCAGCTGGTCCAGAAGCGGCTCCTGGCCTTGGAGGAGGAAGACGATGCAGAGGCAGCTCCAAGTTGCCCTGGAGCTCAACTGGACTCAAGTGCTTCCGTTTCTGATGAGGATGAAGATGGGGGTGGGCGGCTTCGGCCCTCTCCTGGGCTTCGGGTGGCTGGGGGCACTGTTTGCCTTGGGAAGGCTGCTTCTCCCGGAAAGCAGGCAAGAGAAGTGCATGGTGGGCAGGAATGGGCTCTAGATCGCCCAAGGGGCACGTGCAGGGATGGGAACACCCTGCCATCCCCCAGCGGCTGGGACTTGCACATAGAACTTGCAGCTCCACAGGGAGCTCAAGGGCCCTTAGGTACAGAGAGAAGAGGGCCTGGGAAAGTTACAAACCAGATATCCTCACACCAAGATGACTACCTGGGAGGTGCTGGGTCCCCTGGGCACTCCCTGGTGGCTGATGGGACTTCTGAGGTTCTGTCCCTTTGCTGGCAGGAAGACCCCCCGCAGCTCGAGATAGTTCCCAGTTTGGATGCTGCCCTCACAGAGCCAGCTGCTCTGCAAGGACAGGGTTTAGAAAAGCAGATCCTGGGGCTGCAGACAGGACAACAGACAGGGGGTGCTGGAGGGCTGCCTCAAGGCAAGGAGCTGCTCGTGCCCCAGGAGGTCTCCTCAGGAGTCATGTGGGGAGGTGACAGAGGTCCTCCTGTGGTTCAGAGTTATGAGCAGAGCCCTTCCCCGAGAGCAGCTGGGGACAAGGACGAGGCTTCTTTCAGTCCAGGACTCTGGCTCAGCAGTGAGATGGATGCCATAGGCTTAGAGCTGCCCTTAGAAATCGAGGTCACAGAGGACTTCCATGTTGGGCCATGTGCACCTGAGTACCAGGGAGGCTGCCAGGCTCTGGGCTCCAGAAGCAGCGTTTCTCTGGGTCTTGGGGATAGCACAGGACCTAGGGATGTGGGGAGCAGTGCAATTCCCTGTGGAGGCACAGATGCCACAGCTGCCTTAGAAAAGACAAACTACAGCCTGGCCTTGAGGCCTAAAGAAAAGAGAGAACAGAGTCCTGAGACTATACAGGATCCCACTGACCTGTGGGCTGAAGGTTGCCCCCCGTTGCTGGAAGGCAGTATTGATGCCTCCACACTGGTTTCCAAAGAAACCCTCCTGCCTGCTAGTCAGGGCGATGTCATTATCCTGGGGACCCAGGATGCCTCCTCCTTCCCTGAGGCCAGCCAAGAGGCGGGGAACAGAGGCAGTTCCATCTCTCTGTTGGAAACCACAGGTCACAACAACATAATAGATGTTAGAGATGACTTTGGCCTGCAGTTAGGGGCCAGTGAAGATACCCGGGCACTAAATTTTAATTCTTTTCATCCCCAAGGAGAGGGCAGGGAGGACACTGATTTGTTGAATCCTAAAGACCTTGCTCCCTTACCAGGGAATCGAGAGTCTTATGTACATGGGACCCCCAAAACATCTCCTCCCAAGGGCCTTGGACAAACTTCCCGATGGGGAGCCAGGGGTGCCTCAGTTCTGAAAGAAGCGTCTCCTGTTAGTGAAACATGCAGCACAGCAGATGGGGCCAAAGGAAAGGAGGAAGAGGAGGAGGAAGATGAGGAACTCTCTAGCTTTGCCTACCTCTTGGCCTCTAAACTGAGCCTGTCGCCGAGGCGGCCTCCTCTGGGTCCTCACCCGGCCTCGGGCCTGTCCTCCACAGGTCAGGGGGTCCAGAGAGCATCCTGCTCCCTCTCTGCTGAGGCAAGAGGCCCCGGCCAAGCTCCATATCCTGTTGCCAAGTCTAAGAAGCGAGCTCTAGTTGCAGTTCCAGTTCCTCCTGGAAAGAGGCCCTACCTGGGAGCTGAACTTTCGGTCGCCGGGGAGACACCCCTGGTTCTACCCTCGCAGCCTCGTAAAAGGCGGCGTGACAGTTTGGGCACAGGCAGAAGGAAGAAACGGCGCCGTTGCCAGTAGGGAGCAGCAGGACCTTCCTATCCCTCCCGCCAGTCCCTGAAGCCGGGCCGTTTGAATAGATTTCACACTGGCTGCACACAAACCAGAGACTTGCTCTCAATCCTATATTTTGTAGCTCTGCAAAAGTGGCTAGTGTGAGGAGGGAGGTCACACCAGCTAGGCTGGAGGAGGTGCCCTGGTGGGAGGTGAGGGCAAAGTACCTTTGGAAGAAGTTATATGGGAAAAAAATAAAGATTTTGTTGTTGTTGTTGGCAAATACTTCTCAATGTGCTAGTTTGTATTTACTTCTTGGCTCCTAGATGGGGTAAGATGCTGTAAAAAAAGGAGGTGGGGTGGTCTTGGAGTCTACAGATCGAACTTTCCAGCCTTTAGCCTATGCAGGCTCTCTGATAAGCCCGAGCACTGAAAAGTACCAATGAGACTTCATCTCTCCCCTCATCAAAGGCCAGGACTTGGCTGCTGGGAGGGCTTCTCTGGACAGCCTGTCTCCCTTCAAAAGTCTATATGGAAAGGTGCCTTTTTAAAAAACCTGGGATAGGTATCTAATTTTCTAAATCGAATTTTCCATAATTGTGTCTAGAGGAGGGCTTGTTTTCTTCCTTCTTGAAAAGAGACTGGACAGAAGGGACTTAACTGTCCTCAATTCAATCCCAAGGCAGAAAAACCCTCCTGTGTGGTTGGTCTGAGCTGCAGAGAGGAGGCATCAACCTCAGTAGGATTATTAAATATGGAATGGCAGTTAGTTATTTTTTAATCTCTAATGAGGACAGAACGAGAGGGAATACGCTGAAAAGAGGTTCACGAGTAAGCCTGTTAAAATGTGCACATACGGGCATGACAACAAGAGGAAAGGACACGAGATTTGCAGGATTTCTGTGCAGAAAAGCGCCCTGTCCAGCTGGAAGTGAGGATTCATCCAGCTCTGGCCAACAGGACTGACCTGGGGAACCTTCGGGATTGTCCAATGGGCAGCTGGCGACCGTAATCCCTTTCTTTCCCAGCTAATGTGACCATCAATGTGACCGAGCTTCATATTTTTTAAATAGATATAGATATATATTTATATTTATATATAAAATAGTTTCTTACAAAAAACCCCAAACGAACAAAAAAATGAAAATCAACTTAAAAAAAACAAACAATAACAAAAAATCAAGCAGGAGCAGAGAGGGCTCGAGGCCCAGGGTCAGCCCCTGGCGCTGCCTTGAGTCTGCGGGCCAGATGCGAGCTGGGGAGGTCGAGGTGCTCAGTCGTCCTTCTGCTTGGGTGAGTGCACAGTCCCATTGGCCAGAGCTGTGGGGCTGCCTGGGGATGAGGCATTTGGTGTCTGGGAGGGGCGCAGGTAGGTGCTGAAAAGCTTCCCGTGGACAGGATCACGGAGGGAGAAGTCCTGGAACTCACCTGGACACATGAGAGTGAAATGGGGAAAAGCAAAATAATCTAAGAAGGAGAGGACACAGGCACCTTGCTCTTTTCTCAGAATTGGTATGTCTTCTCTCTCTCATCTCTACTTCACTTCTCAAGTCCAAGTTTATGTTCTTTCTGCCTTCCTAGCCAATTCCTCCCATTCTCACCTCTCAGATGTTCCAATCCCTGGCACTGGCCACCAGCCCTTGTTCCCTCCCAGCCCAGTGCTGAAGGTGCCCCTAATGCCCATGTGGGCTAAGAAGACAGTGACTCACAGAGGGAGAGGCCTTGGCGGGGTCCCGCCTGGCACAGCTCGGCATGCAAAGTCTCCGCAGCAGGGCGGGGTGACCCCAGCAGCAGGTGCAGGATGGTGCTGAAGCCGTCTCTGCACAGTAGGCGGCTGGGCCCCTCTGCTTGCTCCTCCGCAAACAGCTGGGAGAGAAGGGGACACAAGTTAAGCACCCTCCTCATGCCATCGCCCCACACTCTCCCTCCCAAAGGTCTGCCTGACAGGTTCCTCCTCTTCTAAGAATGCAAAACATAGGCCCTCCCTGCCCACCCTGGTCCTTTCTGCAAGAGAACTAGAACGTCATAGCTGCTGCCCTCTTCCTGTTCCCAGCTATGCCTCAACACAGACACACTGGGACTCTGGGGTTTACAGTGCGGCACTGGGGTGGATACCAAGCACCAGCTATGCAGAAGCTACTGGTAACAAACAGTATACCACACAGGCTTCTGAGTGGGCTGAGCACAGCCACCATGTGCCCTCTCCTCCCAACACTCTGGTACCTCAAAGGCCAGGCGAGTGAGCTCCTCTAGGCCTGTGCTCCCATCCAGAGCTGCCAATGCAAGGGCCACATCTCGGAAGTCCACCAAACCGTTGGCATCCTGGAGTGTGGAAGAGAAACGAGGGCGATGGGGGAGGGGGAGCAACCCTGTTCTCCTCCTTCTTCTCCGCAGGCACGGAGGTGACTCCTGTGTCTGCTTCCCTGAGAACCTGGAGTCCTAAATGCTCCAGGATCCCTGATAGTTCTCTCAGATCATGGGTTTGCTCAAGCTCTACTGCCCCAAGTCACCTGGTGACAAAGTTCTCTTCTAAAGGGATCTTCTAGGAATGTGAAGTAATCCCTCAGGAATGCTGAAATTACCATTAAGTTTCTGACCTACCTTTGAGGGCATTTCTGGCCTCCAAGCTAGGAAAACCAGTTCTCCCCTGACTCATATCCTATGTGGGAGAACAGGTCCAACAGACTAAAAGGGGGCCACTGGCATAATTTCTGACAAAAATACCAAGAAGGATGCCTGCCAGCTCTGTGGGGGAACCATGGTATTCGGACTTTGGTTCTGTTCTGCTACAGGTTAAGTGGGGAAGCTCCTTTCAGGGACGGTCTGCCTCAGTCTAAGAAATCAATGTCTTCTGTCCCTTCAGAGGACATTGAGAGCCACAGTCTGCATCTTAGATCAAAAAAGAACTCCTCAGGATCACTGGTGGTTGTTTATAAACATTAAGAATCTTCTGGGACAATCTTATAATTCAACAGGAAAACCTGGTAAAGTCCCAGGAAATAATCCAGTTTGCCAAGATTCTTGAGAAGTTCAGAAATTCCCCAGAGAAGTTGTGGGATATTTTAAAAAATCTGCCCAAATATAGCAAATACTTCTGAGTCTCAAACTCTTAACCATCTAACCTGTCCAGCATTGTCTCCTCTGTCACCTTCCCACCTACCCTTCATGACTCATCTCTGAAGCCCTCACACAGTCTCCCTCAAGGTCGTATGATCCCTCACCTTTGCCAATCTCTAAAGTGGCTTCGGAAATTTATGGATCTCACTGACCAATTATTTCTTTAATGTTCTACACCACAATGATTAAAACACTGCTCTGCGATGCACTGGATACTCTATTAAAAAATAAATTCCCCAGGGAACCTCAGAAGTTGGTCATCTGACAATAGCGGTTAGAACATCCAGCACAGACTCCAAATTGGCCATCTAATGTGACTGCCATCGCCACGTGGATGACATCCTTAAATGCTGAGCTCTGCACTCTTCATCCCAGCTCCTTTACCTTCTGGAAGTAGCTAAAGGCACCAGCCACGGTCTGAGGGTCAGAAAGCTGGAGCTGCCTGGCAAACTCATCCTGGTTGATCATTCGACTCCGGCCTGGCTCTGCCCCAGTGTCCACATAGCCAGGGGACAGCCTACAATGGAATTGTGGAAGGCAGAGAGCTGACTCAGTTTCTTCCTGGGCACACCACCCAGCAGGAGCTTGGCCCCAGCCCCAAGAGTTTTCCAGTGCAGGTACATCTAGTGTTTTTCTAAGATATATTCTGACTCATAGTCCCTTGAGAGCCATTCTTTACTTTTTTCACTGGGGTAATTACATATCTTCCCCTTTCTTTTTCTTCCTTCCTTTTACTCCACTATCTTTTAAAAATTTCCTCTATCTTCCCACTTTTTTTTTTTAATAAGACTTTCCTTCCTTCTTCCCATCTCTCCCTTTTCCTCCTACTCTTTTTCTCTGTCTATACATGACACTGCCCATTCGCTCATCTTCAAGGTCACTTACCCAGCCTTTCGAAGCACCTTTCCCAGTTCCCAGAGCTGTGGCTCCAATGCTACCTTCAGCCGGCCCACCACAATCACTGGCAAGCTCCCTACAAACTCGCACTCGGTGGCTGGAATGCCCAGGGCCCTATAGGATGAAGAGGGACGGAACGGAGGGAGGAGGCAGAAGAATCCTCCGAGGGTTCATTACTGACTGGCCTATGGCTAGGGAGAGGACATTAGGCCCCTTTAACCCCCCTCCACCCAGTCTCAGATGTCCACTAACCCTTCCCACTGCCCTCTTCCCCATCTTTGCCTCACACTCTCAGCGCTCCATCCCTCCTGTGGTCCCTTTGCCCTGTATCTGCTCCAGGAAGCACCCTGCGGAACACTCACTGTGCCATAACCCTCTGGACATTGTTGGCATAGAGGGTGGGGTCCCTGCTCTCCTCTGGGCTGGGGTGGTACACAGGGAGGAACTGAAACATACACACACTTCTCATCAGGACCTCAGAGCCAGGGTGACCACTCCCACCCTTTTCCCCCAAAGCTTCAGAGGTCAGTGGGTGCCCACTTTCCTACCCCACCATGGGGGGGCGATCATACCTCCACATCCACGATGCTGCAGGGCTGAGAGGCTGTGAGCCAGAGGACTTTGAGTCTAAGAGCAGAGAGACTTCAGATGTTCACTATGAGCTCCTCCCACCCGGAACAGGGGAGTAGGAAATTTCTGCTCACTATGAAAATGGACTCCTAGCCATAAAGTCTGCTGGATAAATTTGCAGTTGGGAGACAGAGGGAAGGCCGGAAAGGTGGGAGGGGAAGCAAGAAGCTTTGAAGGGATGTGCCAGAGGCAGAACTGCGGGGGAGAAGGTTTGAGTAACTGGGAAAAGGGCAAGAGGCAAGCCCGATGGTGGTTCTCAAGAAAGGAGCGAGGGAGAAAATCACTTAGAAATAGGGAAATAAGTTAAAGGAGCTTTAATCACAGCAGGAATGATTAGGTGGGATAGCTCAAAGCACTTCCAGATCACACTGGGAGAGCATAACAAAACAGTGGGAAACAGGCATCTCCTTCTCTAGAGTTCCCTCATCCAAGAATGAAGGGCCATTGGCCTTGTCTGGAGATGAGAAGATGGCCCAGGAATTCTCCGATAGACCCTGC